ACCGTTACCAAAATTCAATTAAAAGATCACCCACTGGCCAAAGTTTAAAGGGGTAACGGTACATTCTTTTAAAAATTTATTTGATGGCCTAGCAAAACATGGCCTAACAGATGAGTCTTAATTTGTAGGTAAAATGATAAACACGATAAGCTTATTTAACCCATTTCTCTAGTATTAATTTATTTTCGGCATTTTTTGTATTTGTCAATAAAAAAAATAAAAGCCGTAGAAGAGAACGGAAGAAGAAAAAAATTTAATTTAATTTTTCATTTTTTTAAAAAAAATTATTCAATTAGAAAATTATTTTTTATTTTTTTTTTTAAATTTTTAATCAAAAAAAAATATTTTTAGATATTTTTTATACATTTTATTTTACTTTTAAAAAGTTTCATTTTTTATATTGGTTTTAATTTTTAAAATATTTTTAATTCTTTAAACTAATTTTTAATAGTCATTCTTTTATCCGATATTAGTAACTTTTTGTCCCACTGATAAGGTATATTTTATGGTTTTCATTCCCTGATTCCTCCCAACTGAAAGCAACCCCTTTCTTTCCTATGATTTAACAAATATATCTTTCCATTTACTTACTTAAAACCCTTTGAGGCACACGAACATAANCTTTAAACTAATTTTTAATAGTCATTCTTTTATCCGATATTAGTAACTTTTTGTCCCACTGATAAGGTATATTTTATGGTTTTCATTTCCTGATTCCTCCCAACTGAAAGCAACCCCTTTCTTTCCTATGATTTAACAAATATATCTTTCCATTTACTTACTTAAAACGAAGATTTTACACTATATTGTTGGAAATCAAGCAAAAATGATAGACAAAAAATATCTAGGAATAACAGATTATATCGCAATTTGTTCATCCCTTTTGATATCAGTAGGTATAGGAATAACTTCAAGATTATTATCTGGTGAACAAAAAACTGAAAAAGAATATATATTGGCTGGAAAGAACATGGGAAGAATTCCTGTAATTCTATCGATTATCGTGACTCTTACATCACCTGTAACAATTCTGGCAGTACCAGCTGAGAACTATAAGTATAGTATAGGACATGCACTAGTTCCAGTTGCAGTTCCAATAGGAATTCTTCTTGCATCTTGGATATTTATACCAGTGTATTTTAAATGCGGGGTTTCAACGATTTATGAGGTAATTATATAATTTATTTTTTTAGGTAATTGTAGGCCGGTTCAACTTTTTCACCAAAGGCACATTCGCCGAGTTCTTCAAATGTGAATCTCTTATTTATTTATTTTTATTATAATTATTATTTTGTCTTCTGTATTTTAAAACGGGTCTCAACGATTTATGAGATAATTATAATTTTTTATTGTATCTGGAGTAACTCTGCCATATTGTAAAAAATAACTGCAAAATAAAAACAAATTTTGAGCTGAAAAAAAGTGTTTAATGATAAATACATTTTTTTCTGATTTTAATCGTTACTGCACGATGCAACATATTCCCTTTTTTTATAGACTTCCTCAGTATATGTGACGGCCTACAGCTGCTTTTCAACCTAATTATAAACTGATATTAAAACGGTCTGCTAAATTTCTAATTTTTTCTAAGCAGTTAGTATACTAACAGTATGCTAACAGTAGTAAAACTATGCCAACAGTAGTAAAACTATGCTAACAGTAGTAAAACTATGCTAACAGTAGGATAGTTTTATCTTTTTCAGATCATTTTACTATTATTTTCCAAACTAGCTCTTATTTTTCTACAGCTATTTTATAGTTTTAAATATCGCATAATTAAAACTGCGATTCGATTTTATTGGTAAATTAATACTCTACCTGATTATTTATCTGTCTTTAGATATGTGTCCGGTAAGTTAAATAGCGAAACATTCTATAAAGGTGAACAACTATAAATTTCAACGTTTTTGCATTTGAATATGATTTTAATACCTAAGATTTTTAACTCAAAGACACTTTAAGATTTTTCTCCATTACAAAAAATATAACTTTTGCTGATCAGGGTACAGGGCATGCGCATCTCAATCAAGCTACCAACCTGGAATCAAGACCCAACGTTCGCTAGTTTTACAAGTATTCTTTGTGACTGGTCATGCAAATATTTCAATCAGCATTTTTCAATGATTCATTTTTATTTATAATATTTTGGATGCATTTTAAATGGATGCAACCAGTTCCTAAAGTGCATTTTTTTAGCATTTCATTTTTCGTCGATTTTGACCATTTTGCCAAAAGTAAATACTATTATATGTCCTTTTTTAAATAGGCAATTAATAATTCTTGGTAGGTAATGCAAATTATGTACAAACAACGTCTTTCTAATCTATTTAACACTAGTATTACATACAAAAAAACTTAACACCAGCAGTAATGTTATTTTATTAAAATTATTGCTATCATCCATAAAGGACTTAAAATTATAATATATNTTATTAATGATTTCAAGAAGCCAGGAAAATGACAACACAAAAACCTACTCATCTTGAAAAAGTTTTTGAAATAGATTTTGAACCAGAAAATTGTTTCTTTATTTATGCAACAAGACATGTTCATATAGGAGGGTATCTAATTAACATAAGATATTGATTGCTGGCTCTATCTATTTTGGTTATAAACCACTAAATTAAAGTAGCCAGGAAAATGACAGATTTTCTTGGGAAAAACAAATTATTGACAGAGAGAAATATAGTAACTTTAATATTAAACGCTTTTAATAATAAAACTTTACGAAATAGCTTAGCCATATATGCTAGCATATTCAAGTTTCTATATGGTTGAAGCCAGTTTCAGGTACGTAAATTCAATCTTAAGTACAGAAATAAATCAAATGTGGAGCTTCGAGGGGATTTAAGATTAAAATTGACCAATTTGGAACCCAATATAGCGAACCTTGCAAAAAACACCAGGCACATCCCTCTCATTGATTAAAAAGCACAATAAATCTGTTGTTATTTTATTTATTATTTCTACTTATTTATAATTACTTATACTTTAATAAGTATTAAGGTATTTAAATTTCGACATTAATATATTTTTCATAAAACTATTGTTACACAATGTACTATTATTTTAATAAATGCTTAAAATCATAAAATAAATGTACAAACACAGTATCTAATGGAGTTTAATTTTAATTAACAGATTAACTTTTCATGACAAGCTTTTAATATATCCTATGAATAAATTATTGGTATTTCATTACTTTCAAAATATAAATGTAAAGAAAATTGACTTCGAAAAAATACAATCAATAGACCACTCAGTAGAATTTGATCAAGTATTTGTGAACAAGTACTTTTGTGTGGATCTCCCTTCTTTTATTTTGAATCACTCACGTTATTTCTACAATGAAAAGACACATTATTTTGATTTAAAGCAAAAGATACGGTTTCAATCAATTTAATGAGAGGTTTCATGAAGCAACATTATTCATTTACAATTACCAATCATATAAGCCATTAAAAATATTACCCTACCTCACGAAAGAAGTAAATTAATTTTCTAAATGGTCTTTTTAATCAATCCAATTTCTTTAGAAAACTATTGCAGCTTCAATTTGATAAAACAGTCTTTTGAACATTTGTATAAATATTTCGAAAAAATCTAAGCCTGCAAAATAAACTATAAAGCTTGAAGTTTTCATATATTTAATATAATTGGAATGATTTCGTTAAGCAAATCCAGATCCTCTAAACACGGAATACTTCAAAAAATTTATAATTGTGTTGAATAGAATATTTTATCTGAAACTATATCGTATCATATATTTTTAGTTTATCCCTACTTTCTCTCGCACTATACAAAAACTTAATTATTACGTTGGAAGAGTGTTCTCAAAATTGTATTAAACACATTTTTCTACAAGAGAGGAAAATATTTTGAAGAAACATATTTGCTTGTATAATAGATTTATATCAGTTTTCAGATAATATACCTTGTATAGTTCCTTTTTTTTAGTTCAAGTAATGTATTTTTGTTGAAAATTGCTTTAAATAAACTAAATAATAAAATGACATCCTGAAAATGTATAGAATATGTATGCATGAACCTTTTACCCCATATAATTGCAGGGTACATAAGATAATTGATTTGTTGTCATTATTTTGGTGATAAATTAGTATACATTTTCTGTTCTGTACTTTCAAATATCATGAAATTAAATCGTTCTACCTGTACTTTTACTATCGTGACGGTTCTCAAAGTCTCTTTAAATGATATTTCTAAACATTTTAAATAAAATCTTGTACGGATTCTTTTTACACTTTTAAAATACGTAATCAGTTCTATTACTTTGTTTACCAGTTTTTTCAAATTCCAAAAAATACGGCTACTGTAATAATTATATTATAACAGCTATCGTTATGAATATTTGTAACGATATTTGAACTTAAGTTTCTCTGAATATTTTAAATCATAGTCTTTACTTCCTTATTATTATCATCATCCTTATTTGCGTATTTTGTTTTAGTTTCTTCTACTAAAGCAAAAGTACTTTGTTTAGCAGTTTTTTCAAATTCCAGAAAATATGGCTACTGTAATAATTATATTATAGCAGCTATCTTTGTGAATATTTATAACGATATTTGAACTTAAGTTTCTCTGAATATTTTAAATCATAGTCTTTACTTCATTATTATTATCATCATCCTTGTTTACATATTTTGTTTTAGTTCCTGCATTTATTTAGCATTACCAATGTTTCATTATAATGTCTTGAATATTTTGATACTTGTCTTTAATCCTTTGCTTTCATTTAGCCTTGTTAATGAATCTTTGCGAATATTTTTATTTTATATTATTCTTAAATATTTTTATCCTTTTTCTTTTTTTTAAAACTTAGTTACGAACGTTTTAGTATTTATTGAGCCTCAGCCTTGAATCCTACGGACATTCAGAAGGTGCGCTCACTACAAGCTTGTAGAATTTGCTCGTAGAAATGGAGAGTAAAAACTCAAAAAAGCAATTACTCTATAAGGACTCATCTGCAATCTATGAAAATATTTGGACATCATTCGCTCTGAAGATAATTGGTGTTTTGCATTTTAAAAAGCAGAATAAATTAAGTAAATGGATTATATTGAAACATTATTTTTATCCTCTAAGTATTGGAACTCATTTGCTTATTTTTTATCCGATATATTTAATGGTTAGAGTCCTCGGTGCTCAGTCATTTAAGCATATAAGTGGAGTTGTGTTAGGATATATATTTGCTCTGTTTATTTGGCACTACATGCGTTTAAATTCAAATCGATTCTTGAGGTTTCTACGGGCCTATCGACAAGTTCAGTACATGGTAAGCATCAGAAAGGAAATTAAAGAAGACGTCGCTGTAATGTTAGTATTATTGTATCCGCTATTTCTTTCTGCATTTATGAACATTACAGACGATTATCATGAAAAAAGGGTATCATTTTGGCTGTGTGGTTTTAAACCACCCAAAAATTATTTTATAAGTAGAATTTCTGTTTTTACTTCAATGAGCATCTACTATTTTTCAAAATTTGTGATTCCTTCTTTATCTGTCGTCATTATTTCTACATTTTCTAACAGATTGTCAAAGGCTTTGCAAGTTCAAGGTCAAATAATAAAGAAATCCTTGTTCTCTGAAAATTTCTATGAGGAAGTTCGAAGATATCGTTGCGTCATTGATTGCTGCGAGTTACTTGAAGTTGCGACCAGGAAATTGGTGTTCTTCGTCATATTGTCATATTTTGTTATTATATATGCTGGAATAGGATTTCTGTTGACGAGTTTCAGAGCAATATCAAGTGCGAGTAGAGTTCTTGAATCTTCTTTCACTGTAGCTGCATGCGTCATTGGTGTTGTTAGTTTAGTTGCCTTTGCATCTAGAATACCTAAAAGCATAACTGATGTAAAAAAGAAATTTCAAATGTTACACTTAGAACAACAAGTCACTAAACAGACATTAAACTGTTGCCTAAAAAGTAGAATGAAATTGTTGAAATCTATCGGGGAATTGCAGCCGGTGTATTTAACAGTTTTTGGAATGTCCCGTGTCGAAAAAAATATGATATTATCATCTATTGGCACTATTTTAACATATTGCGTCTTGATAATGCAATTAGAACAGCAAGATCACCATTGATGTTCGTGTAACAGGTTATCTGCTAGAGTAATTAACTTTATTTAACAGCTTGTGATTGTCTCACGTGGAGAAAAAAATGATAAACTGTTTCTATTTTAGCACACTGTGTATTATTCTATGTAACTAAAAATTGCTTAAAAAGTCTGTGTAACAAAATATGATATTATTATCTATTGGCAATATTTTAACAAACTGTTCGTAAGTAAGGCAATTAGAACTGCAGGAGTAACAATTGCGTAATTTAGTGTTAATAATATGTGAAATGCTTCGTTGTAATCTTTTAATGTACTGCCACTACTTTAAAGTATTGTGTATTAATAATGCATCTGGAACAGCAAGAATATCCTTTATTTTCATATAAATAAATTTGTTTAACTGTTTGTGAAAGGTTCCATGTGGAACAAAATATATTATCATTTTTTTGGCATTATTCTGACTCTTTATAAATTAAAAATGCAAGTAAAACAGTGAGACTAATATTTATTTTCATTTAGTTAACAACAATTGACCATGTGTAATGTTGCGTGTGGAACAATATTCTATTCATTCTCGATGCAATTAGAAAAGCAGAAGTAATATTTCTTTCCGTGTAAATAATGACATGATTTTTAATTCGAAAAGTCATTTTGGTTAAAAATATTAAACAGCCAACTTTGCATTTCAACAAAAAGAAGTATTCTTTTTAGTAACGTTTATTTAAACTTCTCAGTCACTTAAAAATTGCTCATTGCAAAATTTTTGCACAGTTTGCTCGTGTATATTGCCAATACACGGACAGCTAAAGATAAGAACCACAGAGCAGAAAAAATAAATTTTTCAAAAAAGGAAATTATCTCCTTTTAATTATTACAGAAATGTAAGATATTGGTTACCTTTCGATATTCGGATTGGTTATCTTTCGATATTAGATATTTCGATTAATATCTTTGAAGAAAAAAAAGAGAGTCAAATATGGAGAATTTATATTTTTGTTCATGGATTTGTTAATATTTTTATTTCATCTTTTGTGTGCCCTGTGATCAGCCTGAAGCACTACATCTGCAGAAACACTACAGCACGGCAGAGGCAAATTATTATAGCATCTGCAGTTATTTTTCATCTAAGTTTTCAATTTACTTTTAAAAAACCAACAAACAAATAAGGAAAAATTGTTGAAACTCTTTATGAAAATATCTCTAAATTTGTTTCTTATGAAAATTAAAAAGCTGAATTGAGAGGGCACCGCAAACAAAGACATTTTCTGTTACTTCCATTGAAAAGTTTTCGTATGATTGTATAAAATTAAACTTAAATTTAAGCACTATAAAATTTTTAAGTATAATTTTCAAGATCTCTACATTTGAAAATTTCGCTGCATGTAGGTTAGAGATTAAGCAAAATTTTTGCAATTGATGTGTTTTCTCCGCTAGGATGCGCTGCAAGCTCTTTACTGTCTCTAGTTCCCGATGCATTTTCAAGCCGTTTGGCTCACAACATGATCATTGCGTTTTGAGACTATCTGGAGTAGTATTTTCTACTTAAGTGTATTTGTTACCTAATTTATTATTTTTGCTCTAAAAAAAGGACGTCGTTTGAAAACCTGTCATTTCAAGACGTAAGAATCATAATTTGAAAAAAAGAGAATCGTTATAAAACACTTATTACCTTGTCAACAATATACCAACTTCGAAATTTAAACCTAAATCATAATTTGTAAAAAGAACTTAATATCTCTGATCGAACAATATTCTAGCACCAATATATGATGGTGCATGGCTTGCAACAAGAACAAGAGTAATAAACAAAACAAAAAGTTTGGTCACCGCAAGGCGATCTCGGGTTATCCATTGGCAAAATGGTTGTCGTCTAATTTTGTTGGAAAAGGAACTTTATAGTATTTTCATCTTAAACACCTTTAACTGAACTGATCGGTACACAATTTCGCAGACATATTTTAATGCAGCTCAGACACATTCTGTGTAAATTCTTTTGATGACTGAATAGACATTGAACAGCCAATCGAGATCAGTATTGGCATTTTCGGATTGGTACAATGGTGTTTGAAGGAGATTGTAAGCGGCATCATACTCCCGTTTCGGATTCACAAGTTCATACATGAAATATAATTTGAAAGCTAGTTTTTTTTCCTCCAGTTTATATTGCGTGGAAGACATTCTACGGCCTTGCGCAAGTCATTGGGTGCGTTGACAATGGATCCTTTTATTCCTAACACCCAGTTCTCGTATTGGCATGAAAGGATTCGAAAAGCCACCATTTGCTCTTCGGTACGGTTCAATTCTCTCAACCACTTTGGTATTTTTGTGAGCGACGGACTTCATGCTTACGTTTGCGATCAGAATCCCTTCGTTTTTCCGCTTCGGTAAGTTTTTGGCCTTGGCATCGTTTTATTCATGCTTCAACTCTAACTTTTGGGACCATGTCAATCAGTTTGGACCTTCCCTTATGAAAAAATCGAGGTATAAATGAGGTATAAACAAGGTATATTTTAAAGGTATAAAGGAGGTTGTTATTTAAAGACGTCGTTGAGGTTGAAAAGGGTGCAAATGAATACCTCAAAACCAACCTCAAATATACCTTAATATATACCTCCAGAGGTATATATGTTTCAACTTGAGGTGTTTAATTTTACATCTGGGGAGAGGTAGATATTTACTACTTTAAAGTGTTTCATTTTCAACCTTAGGTTATTACTTATCAGCTTGAAGTATATTTATTTACACTTGTGGAAGTATTTATTCAACAACCTAAAGTGTGTCATTTTACACTTCAGGTTATTATAAATCAACCTCAGGTGTATTTTGTTCCATCATGTTCTT